GGGGCTCAGGTCCAGGGCTGTCTGTAGTCCCAGCACCTCCAGCCACAGCACGGGGACTCAGGTCCAGGGCCGTCTGTAGTTCCAGAACTCTGGGAAACTGAAGCAGATCACAAGCAGGAGCCTAGCCTGGGCAACTTCATAACTTTGTGAGACTTCCAAAAATTGGGGTGGGGTGCTCAAGACATAGAACCTGGATTTGGTCCCTACTACCAAAAAACAAAAACAAAATCCAGGGCAAAGCTGGATCTGATGCCAGTGGGCCAACTCAGTTCCAGTTTCTCTGCTGAGAACATAGCTGACAGTGTGCATAGAGGGAAGCCATACCAGGGCTGCTTCTAATGGCTGCCCTGTCATGCAGGCCAGCAAGTATGTGCCGGTCCGGCAGCCACAGCGCTCGGGCATCGCCAGAGTCACCCTGGACCTGTACAGGCTGCACCCCAAGGACTTCCTGGGCTGCCTCAATATCAAGGCCACCCTGTACGAGATGTACTCTGTGTCTTACGACATCCGCTGCACAAGCGTCAAGGCCATCCTGAGGTAACTGCAGGGCCACAGCAGGGTCTGCAAGCCTGCTGGACTGTGGTGATCCACGGCCTCCTTGTGCTGGCCCCACAGTTCCTGCCAGGTGACCTGCAGTCTATGTGAGCCCAGCGGGTTGAATTTTAAGAAACGGGAGGCAGGGCCATTTGGTACCCAGAGTCATGGCTGAGGAACAGCGGGAAGGAAGGGAAGCCAAGTCACTTAAGCTGGCCTCTAGGCCGAGGCCAGAGGCCATGGTCAGGCCACAGGTCTGGACACATGTGGTTGCCTGGGGTGATCCCCAGATGTGACAGCATAGTCCTGAGCTCTGAGCCCTGTGGTGAGTGTGGTCACTGGGCTGGTGGGGTGGGACTACACCCAGCCCCAGTGACAGTGACAGTGTGGCCTGGCTCTTCCCCTATAGTGCAGGGACGACCCCAGTGTCCCATGCTGGGCAGAAGTGTGGCCCCTGAGACCTGCGTGGTCAACATGCACATTGACAGATGCACAAGGGACACAGCCCACCAGAGGATGAGGTTATTGTGGCCTTAGTCCACAGCTAGGGGGCCCCACTGTGGCACTTGTGGCCGTCAGCACAGCATGTGGGCGAGTACCAAGGACACTGCACATCCTCACAGCAGCCAGGACACCCCTGGGGCTCCCTTGCAGCTGCAGCACTACGGCTACCAACCTGTGCAGCTGTGGGGCTGACATGGTGGCTCGACCCTACTCCTGCCACAGCCAGGCCAAGGCCATTGCCCCACGCTCAGCAGCCACGCCACAAGGAGCACAAGTTGCCCCTGTACGTGGTGAGGGCTGGTGGACAGTAGAGACACACCCTGAGCCCAGGAGACGCTGCTACCCACGAGTCTCTGGGACCAGGTCCCCTGATCCTGTGTCCCTGTGGGTATGGCACGGAGAACAGGACTCTGGGGTGGTGCCCGCTGCCCATGCAAGGCCAGGGAGCCTGTGACTGGTGCTGACAGGCAGGGCCCTGGCGGGCTGCAGTCACCAAGGTCATGCTAGGGCCTCAACACCTGGACAGCACCAGCTTAGCTTTCTTTGTTCTATGCATGGATGGAGCTCAGGGCCTCACCCAGAGCAGGCTGGGGCCGCACTGCTGAGCTTCTCCCGGCACCCTCCCGCCTTTCAATTCCATCTTGAGACAGATCTCAATAAATGGCCTGGGCTTGGCTCAGACTTGCAGTCCTCCTGCCTCAGCCTCTCCAGAGGCTGAAACTAGGCACGGGCCCAGAGCCGGGCTGAAAGTAGGGGAAAAAGGGTCAGGAACTGAGGAAGCCACAGAGACAGTACGCCACCCTTGGAATCCCCGTAAAGACCCTCCCAGGTCAGCAGAGCCTGAGGTGCGGTCGGGTTTCCGGGTCTGCACACCATGGACCCAGCCAGGACTCGGTGGCCAGCTGAGGGATCTGCCTTTCCAGGCACAGGGACAGCAGGGGCTCACGCAGCCAGGCAGCGGTGTGGGGGGCTTTTCCTGCTTCCCCCCGGGATCCGGTCCCCGCCATGGCCCTGCACGCAGCCCGGTGCCGTGCGGAGCCTGACGCAGGTCTCCGTGCAGGAGCCTGCTGCGCCTGCTGTCCTACGCTGCTCAGGTGACCGGCCAGCTGCTCCTCTACTCCGGCTCCTACGTGCTACGCTTGCTGGATGACACAGAGGAGCCTCCGTCCCCCAAGTCGCAGACGGGGGGCTGGTTCCGGTTCATGCACAGATAGGGCGTGGCGCCTCCGGGTGGCCCTGCTGGGGACAGGCTGGGTTGGTGCCACCCTCTGTCGTGCTGGCTCAATAAAGCACCCAAGCACCCTCCCTGCGTGTGATGCCCCGTCCTGCCGCGTGGGAGGGAGGTGCCCGGGAAGCCACAGGAGACCCCTGTGCCATGTCTGCCCACCAGGACCCAGCGGGCTGGTCTTCCTCCATGCACCGCGCTTGTTTGCGTTCGGACGCCGGAGATCCAGCCCAGGCCCTTCGCGCGGGCTACATCCTTGGCCCTTTCTTCTTATCGTCCATGCTTGCAGCGCACCGGGGGCGGCTGCTCTGGAGAGCGGGCCTCTCAGTTCTGTGGGCGCTGTGCCTCTCAGTTCTGCTCCTTCGAAAAAGAACTCCCCGTTTGCTGCCACCTTGTGTTTTACTCTTTATTTGCTCTCCGGGTTTCTCTTTCAAGAGAACCACGTGATATTTAAGCTGTGTGATTTGTTGCTTGGCTTTGTGGTCGCAGGCCCCCATTTTCCTACAAAGCACTCAAGTGCGCCCATCTTTGGGTGCAGTGTGCTTCACTGAGCCTACTGCCACACATTCTCTATCCATTCAGCTGGTGAGGGACAGGTAGGCTGCCTCCAGGGCCGTGAGACACCACACTGCCACACATAAAAGCTGGCTTGTGTTTCCCGCAGGGTCTAAGCTGTTACACTGCCCACTCTGGGTTGGACTTTGTGATCCTCCTGCCTCAGCCTCCCAGAGTCTGGGACTATAGGGGTGCATCTCCCGGTTTAAAGGTGGGTTTTTCAAGAGCTTGAAGGGGCTCCGAAGCTCATGGGCCTGTGCTTGATATCCCTGGGGCGTGGCCTCTGGCCTTGCTGCTTGAGACCTGGCCAGGATGCTGTCTCTGGCAGGAGCAGGTGCTCAGGGGGGCATGCAGGACCAGCCTCTGGGCTCCTCTCCAGTGGGCACAGGGTCCCACCCTGGACCTGGGTGTGGCTCCCATAGTGGAGGAATGGACCCCACGGACAGTGCTTCTGTTCTGATGCCTGGTTGCCAGCCAGGCCAGGTCCCACAAGCACTGTAGGAGGCTGAGGCAGGAGGATCACTATGCCTCACACCTTGACCACAGCTCAAGGCCTTCGTGTGCAAGGCATCACAGCTGCCCCTGCACTGTCCCCTTCCAGCCCTGTCAGAGCTCACAGATGCCCCTGCCACCCTGGCTTTGACTCTGGATGTGGGCCTGGAGGACCTGCTGTTCTGCCCTCTGAGGCTCAGGCTGCACACACCCTCAGGAGGAACCTGCCCTCCGGCAAGCAGCAGCCACTTCCTAAAAGGGAATTTTCCCTGCAGTGCCTGTTGGCTTGGCAGAAACCCAAACTGGGAGAGGGAGGGAGTGGCTACATGAGAAGTGGCCAAGGCCCTGGATGAGAGGCGACAGCCGGAGCCTGGCGCTGTTGACTAGCAGTGACACCTTCCCGCAGGGCCCTGCAGTAGCAAGTCTCTCTCTCGCCTACCCTAACACTTTCTGGTCTGTCCTGATCTCAGTACCCTCGACCCACATCTGGCCCGTGGCGCAGATGCATGCCTAGGGTGCCACTCAGGGCCTGTGTGTCCTGTGTGTCCCCAGGGAGCAGAGCACCCATGAGCTTCTCTCGAATCACTACGGAGGAGAAGTCTTGGCGCCTGGCCCTGTGCTGCTCTGGGGCTCTGGTTCCGGTCTCCATGCCTCCTCCCTTCCAGACACCCTGGGGTATCCCCAGGTGAGCACCGTGTCCTGGAACCCTATCCAGGCACAGTGAGGTCTCAGGGCCTCCAGGAGCTGGGCCCTCACTCCCAGGGCCAGACGCTGGCTCAAATGGCCTGAGCCAGACACTTAGCTCCACCCTCTTCCTTTCCTGTTCTCCTGTGGAGGCCCAGACCTTGGCTCTCCCTCCTCCTGGGAGAGGCTGGGCCTTCTGGCTGGGCAAGGCCGGCTGCCCCTACGTGGCTAGGACAGAGGGGCCGGCACTGGCCCTTAGGACAGCCCAATGAGCACTGACCCCTTGGTGCCTCCACACTGCTGGACACTGCCCTCTCCCCACCTCTTAGTCATCTTCACTCTCAGGAGCTCCAGGTGTCCCCAGTCTACCCCAGGAAGGTGCAGTCTGTCCCAGATTACAGCCCCGAGCCTGGGCAAGGCCCTGAGCCAGGATTTGGGATGCAGCAGTAGAGCTGCCCACCTGTGCACCCCACATTCAGGTTCGCTGTGTGCTCAGCATACCCCAGGATGCCCTCCAGCCATGCCCCTGGCGGTATGAGGCCTCAGGTCACAGAGGAGGACATCCTGGCCAGGTCACAGAGGAGGACATCCTGGTGTTGCATGGCTAGGCCAGGCACAGTGACCCTGTGACACTCTGACCTGACAAGGAGGGTGCACGGGGCTGTCCTAGGCTCCTGATAGCTCCAGAAAAGTTTCCTGGGTGATAGCCACACCTGATGTGCAGCTCGAGGCCTTATCGGCTCCTGGGTGACACAGCCATCTCTTGTTCCTAGGAGGGTACAACTGGTGGCCTCCCCAGCAGCCTGGTGGGACCCAGGCCATAGCCAGCATGATGAGCAGCTAGACCCTCCTAGGTGGTAGGGACACCGCTCTGCCCACCCATCACAGGCCTCTAGCCCTGGAAGGCCCAGGTTGAGCTGACCGCCTTGTGGACTGCCTGGAGTGGGCCTCTGCTCTGTGTCTGTGGTGTCCTCATGGCAGCAGTAGATGATGGTGTCCTGTGTCCCACTCCAGGAAGATTACACGGAGCTGAACGCCTGGTAAGCGAGCAGCACCGTTGGCCACAGCAGAGCCCAGAGCCAACCCAGGGTCGCCGGCATCCAAGGCTAGAGTTGGGTCCTGGCTCACAGCGTCACTGCACTGGTGCCACAGCACCATGGGAGAGCCACCACCCATGTGTCCGACAGTGCAAAGGGACGCTGGAGCTCAAGAGGGACTCAGTCCTCACACTCCACTTGCGGTGCTTGAAAGCAGTCTTAGAACATTTAGCTAGGAAATTTAATTTGCTTTTTTTTAGGTAGGATTTTACTACACATTTCAGGCTGGCCTCAAACTCACAGCAATCCTCTGCTATGCCTTGCTACCTAGGATTTTTAAAAAGCCAAAAAATTGAAGTACTAGCTCATTTCCTGTCTTGGTCCCTGGGCCTGCCAGGCAGGGACTTTCCTCCAGGGCTGGGCTCTGCCTCTTGCAGGCTGCCCTGCTGCCCTTCTGGCTGTGTGACTCAGGGCTGGGAACATCTCAGAGAGCTATTCCTCATCTGTGAAGTGGAAATGATGTGACTTCCACCCATCCACAGCTTCACAAGGACCCAATAAGAGAAGAAATGTTAAACAGGATGGAAAGAGGGTTCCCTCTCTGTAGCTGGGCATGGGCCTAGGGCCCCGTGCACACTGACTGGAGCACTGAGGCCGCGCTGTATCATCGGCAGAGGACATCAGTGCAAACAAACAGCCCGGCTTCTACTGGGCAACGGTGCACGGACACAAATGCAAGACATCACAAAACCAGAGAGAGCAGCAGCCAGGTGTGATGGCAGATGCTTGTAATCTCAGCATTCAGCGACGCTGAGGCAGGAGGATTGCCAAGAGTTCAAGGCCAGCCTAAACTACATAGTGAGATCCTGTCTCTAAAAAACATAAAACAAGCAGGCAGTAGCAAAATACAAGCATGTCACTGCGCAAGAGGTCAGGATTCAGCGTGAGGAGCTCCTCTCTCCTGCAGTGTAGACCCACTTGGCTCAGCCTTGCAGGTGCTAGACAGGGCGTCTGCCTGCCCGAGCCCAGCTGTCCAAACCAGGGCACCCTCTACTGGCCTCAGGCATCCCCTGGCCCAATGCCTGTGCCAAGCCTGTGCCCCCCCCCCCAGCCCCAAACTGCGGTATGGGCAGCTGCCAGCCACGCCTAGGCCACTGACAGAGCGGCAGCAGGAGCAGCCACACTGGGGACACTGGTCAGTGTCGTGGACTCCCCAGAGCCAGCACCGGTTCAGCACCCATGAGAGAAGAGAAGCTCACACTGATCACCACTTGAGGATGGGCGGGGATGGGACGCAGCGCCACACCAGGCTGGTCGGCACCACCAGGCCTCAAGCTGGGAGGGGACTGGAGGGCAGCTGCATCCAGCAGACCTGACAGCCCGGGAGGGGTGGAGAGAGCACATGAGAACAGCAGCCCCACAGGGGAGGCTGCCAGCGGAGAGCTGCTAGGTCTCCGAAGTGCGAGGCCAGACTGTGCAGCTCATGAGACCCTATCTCCTAGAGAAACAAAAAACTCCCTTAAAATTTTAAATACATTTTAAATTATAAAATACTTCCATGGTTTGAAAATAATTCCATCTGGTTTTCGTAAGTTTGGCTGAGAGAGTCGTTGCTACAGTTCCCAGGGCCTGGAGGGCCCCTGTCTCCCTCCCCTTACACAGGGAGCCTGCGAGTCTCGTGGAGGAGGGGCAGGGCTGCAGAATTCTCTGCCCAGCCTTCTAAAGGTCCCTTTTATTTTCCCACTTTCCCTGGGCCCATGAGGCCACCACAAACACACACCTCCTTTTTAAAAAAAAAAAAAAAAAAAAAATTCTCCTTTTAGGAAACAGACATTGTCAAGATCTGTTTAGAAAAAGCCTCAACATGCAGACAGCGAGGGGGTGACCGGGCTTCCCACTTGGGTCTGGATGTGAAATCCTCTCCTTAGGGGACCCCGCCTGGCCTTGGAGTGTCCCCCAGAGCAAGGCTGAGCGGGGACCAACCCTCCGCCTTGCCATCCCAGCCACTGTGGGGGCTGGTTCCCAGCTGTCCTAGCCTGCCTGCCGGGCATTCCTCAGCCCACTGCCGCCCACCAGGCCCACTTGGGTGGCAGATGATCACATAAAAATAGCCAGGCACCTGCAGGGCCCCTTCCAGTTGCTCTTCAGGGCATGGCAAGGGAGCATCCCGGCAGCCTGGGGTGCGGCTGCAGCTGCTCAGCATGGGCTGCCAGGCTAGGCCAGGTCAAAACCTGGCTCCCTGCAGAACCCTGCTGGGAGTGGGCCCTGGGCCAAGAGCCGTCCTGTCCACGCAGTCCTGCCTGAGTCCACAGCAGCTTGGCCAATGCCATGCTGCCTGGGCTCGAGCCCTTTCTCCTCAAGGAGCTGGGGTTTGGGGCTGTGGGTGGCTCCAAGGCAGAGCTCCCCTCTGACAGACACAAGGCCAACTCAGTCCCCAGCTGCGAAACCAAGAGAGCTAAACCCAAAGGACCTGGGTCTGGATCCACCATGTGGTCGGGACTGGTTGCTGGGCCCCCTCAGACTCAGTTTCCCCACCTGACGAATGCAAGTGACACCAGCCCAGGACAGATGCTCTGCAAATGCAGGACGATGGGCACCCCATCCAGTCTCCTCCACTCCCTGCAGGCCTCTGCGCTCGTCCTTTTCACAGTGAAGTGTAGGATGAAGGGCCGGTGTCCAGAGTGGTGCTTCCCGTGGAGGAGGAGACTAACCTTCCCACTTCCTGCAGCACTGTGCGCCCCCAGTCACCTATGGTCACCTCCTGACCACCTCCAGAGCCACATCCCGGCCAGCTCCCCACAGGTATTAGGCAGACAGAGCCCCACACCAGAGGCAGAACTGGAGCCCTCCCAGAGGAAAGGTGAGGCGGCGCTGGCCTGCTTCCCTGGCCCTGCCGCCCTTCTTGGAACTCTGGGACACAGACTACAAGGCCAGACACAGGCACAGTCCTCACAGGGAGGTGAGTGCCCAGAATTAGCTGGCTCCAAAAGTCTGTACCTCATCCTGGGGTCTCAGGGACACCTGGGGTCTGGTGCAGGTGCCAGTGTGGGTCCACCAGCGGGCCCAGGATGACCCTGTCCTTTCCCAGAGGAGCCCAGAGGTGGAAGAGGTGGTGGGCACTGCTGGGACCCAGCCTGCACTAAAGCAGACCACCCTGTACCCATAGTCAAGGACTTGCGTCCTCACCCTGCCTGACAGCTGAGTCAGGCTTCCCTGCCAGGGCTCAGAGCTGCTCCTGGGCCCCCCAACCCTGGACCCTGGGAAGTCCTAGCCCTGGGTAGTCATGGCCCCAAGAGGTCTGGGAGTGGTCACAAGTGAAATAGGGGTCATGCTCACACCAGGAATGGACCCTGGGGAGTTCAGCTCACCGTGACCCTATCCCTAATCCCACTCCTGAGGAGAGAAGACAGACAAGTTCAGACTTGAGCAGCTACTTGAGAGGCTGAGGCCGGAGGATCATGAGTTCCAGGCAACCTAGGTGACTGTCCCTTGAACCCACAAACTGCGTGGCAGATGGTCAAAATCTGTCGGGCGTAGGGTGCCTGCCTAGGGGTCCGCACCGCCGGCTGAGTTCCAACTCAGTGAACTGCGAGAGACCACAGAGGCGTTGGTCCCTGTGACCCCAGGAGACTGGGGGAGCGAGCGGACCGGGGCCTGGAATAGGAAAGGCTGCCATTGGTCTCTGAGGTGCCTGGGGCGGGGCGAAAAGGAAGAGGCGGGTGGAAGGCGCGGTCAGATGGGCCAGAACCCCGGCCTCGGGTCGCCTGGCCACAGTTGCCGCCGGCGTCCGCGAGGAAGCAGCGCGGCCATGCGGGAGATTGTGCACATCCAGGCGGGCCAGTGCGGGAACCAGATCGGCACTAAGGCGAGCGGGCCCCGGGCAGGGCGCGGGGTGGCTGGGGTGGCGGGTGGCGGCGGCTCTGACGCTCCCACGTCCCCAGTTCTGGGAGGAGATCGGCGGGGAGCACGGCATCGACCCGGCCGGAGCCTATGTGGGCGACGCGGCGCTGCAGCTGGAGCGGATCGGAGTCTACTACAGCGAATCCTCGAGTGAGTGGACCGGCAGATGGAACCCATGACCTCGGGGCCCCGACACCCAGGGACCCCAACAGCCTGGGACCTGGGACCCCGAGATCCCATGACCCCGAGGCCCTAGGGGCCCCAGACGCAGGGACCTCACAATCCTGGGACTCCACCACCCCCAGGCCGTGGGATCTCGACGTCCCCAACCCCTGTCAGGACCTGACCCCTCCTTCCCACGCGACCTAGCTTTGCTCTGGACGCCTCCTATGGCCCAGCGGCTCCAGGAAGAGCTCTGGCAGGAGGCCGAGGCAGGCGCATCGCTCGTTCCCTGCTCGCAGGGTCGGATGTTCGGTCGGCTCACTCAAACTGCGCTCGGCTTGTCCCGAGGGTGGGCGGTGAAGCGGCGCCGCTGGTGTTGTAAAGATCAGCCCAGTGGATCCTGGCCCAACTTCTCAGTGTTTGAAGGCTGGAACAAAGCAATGGGATAGTAGAGTTAGTGCGTTCTTGAGAAAAGCAATGTTTGTACTTTTTCCAATTTAAAATGTACCTTTTCTTAAGGATTCGGGGCTAAAAATTTGAAAAACTTTCTCCCATATATTTTTTCTGGTCCTTCGTTGATCTCTAAAGACTTCAGACTCCTGAGAGCAGAAACTCCACAAGCTCTGGGCGGGTAGCTAAGGGACTTAATGAAGGCCAAGGCTTCTTTGCTGCTAGGCTGAAAATCATCCCTGCAGTCCTGGATTGGGAGGCCCCGGCCCCGCCCCTGAGTCTACCCAGGCCACGCCCTCAGCCTGGCCCAGCCACGCCCCCGAGCCTACCCCGGCCCCGCCCCTCAGCCTACCCGGCCCCGCCCCTCAGCCTGGCCCAGCCACGCCCCTGACCCCTAAGCCGCTGCAGTTCTGCAGTTTTGTTACAAAAGTGCCACATGCCCCCACTAAAACAACACATATCGGCAGGTGCTGGCCAGGCACCCACGCATAGAAATACCCCGTCTCATTGCTGGGAGTCACTTCCTGCCCACGCAGAGGGGCGAGCGGTGTGGACGACTCACTGGGTTTGCTCAGGCAGCAGTAATGATAGCCTGGCACCCGGGGTGCAGGAGGGAAACCCGGGACCCACCCCGCGGCCCCCGTGGGCTCGGTGCTGGACGCTGCCCCGTGGGACCCTGCCGTCCTGCTCCTGGCCACCGCCGCCGCCCGCTCCCAACGAGGCCACAAGGAGCTCCCCTGGAAAAGAGCTGTGGCGTGGGACACCACGGGGGTGTCGTGTCAACACGTGGCCGCGTGTGTGCGAGTGGCCAGTGCACACGCCCAGCTGCCCGGTGCTGACCCTGGCCGGCCGTCTCCCTGCAGCCCGCAGGTACGTGCCCAGGGCCGCGCTGGTGGACCTGGAGCCCGGCGCCGTGGACAGCGTGCGGTCGGGGCCCCTGGGCCCGCTCTTCCGGCCCGACAGCTTCGTCTTCGGTGAGTCCCCGCGGCCGCGGCAGCCGGCAGGCGGCGCCGACCTCCGCCCGCGGCGCTTCCTTCTTTAGAACACCGGGTGACTTTCGGGGTAATGCGGAGCGCGCCGCACAGAGAGCCCGCAGGGAGACAGCGGGCGGGCGGGCGGGCGGCTGTCCCCAGAGCGTCCCCCGCGAGCCCCGGGCTGGCCAGACCCTCGCGGAGGCGGAGGCGGAGGCGGAGGCGGCGGGCGGCTGCTCGGACTCAGGGCGGCGCTGTCGGCCCGCCCGGCCTTCCGGCTTGGCGCACACTTTCCTGCCCGCCCTAGTCACAAAGCCCGAAAGAAAAGGATGGAAAAGCGCCCTGATGCAGAGTGCACGGAAGGCGGATCTGAAAGCGCCCAGCTACGTCAATGCAGGGTGCTTGGTGCCGCACAAACCATGTCTTGAAACTACCACTTTATTAAGAGACGTGCCTCTGAGAGGAAAAGCTTGCTTATGGACAGAGATACCCCAGTGCGCCAACGGCCGCATTTCCCTTCAGCCCAAGGGCCTCTCGTCCCACCAGCTCAGCCAAGGACCCCTCGTCCTGCGTGCCCGCCCGTGCTTTGAGTTCTGGCCTTGTGACCTCAGCCCACACAGCTCAAGCTGTCTTGGGACAGGGACCAGGTCCAAACTCAAAGTTCAGCGTGTTCCATATACACCTCCATACACAGCCAGAGGGTCATGGATATGGTATTTTTAGGGCATTTGTCACGGTGATCTGTCCCCAAGGCCAGGTGGTGAATTTTCCCTGCTGTGGGGAGGACACTGCCATGTGCGCTGGAAACGGTGATCCATCCCTCTTATCCCAGCACTTGAAAGACTGAGGCAAGAAGACGTCCGAGGGTTTCAGAGCAGGATTGGGATTTTAAGGTTAGGAATGGTGAGCTAGTGAAAGGCAGTGTGTCCTTCATGACTTGTGAGAGGTAGTCATGGCTGAAAAGCCTCATGGTGTAGACACACTGGAAAACAAAAAGGCACCAGGGAGAGATGTTCAACCCAGAATAACAGATGCTCCTGTTCCCAGAACCACTGCAGGGAGGATTTCTCACAGCTCCTTTGAGACCAGGTGGCTCCCCCTGCCCCCAGTACTGAGATTCAAACTCAGGACCTTGCATTTGCCAGGCAGGCACTGTGCCACTGAACTATATCTCCGGCTAGGGGGCATTTATTTACGGGAGTGAGAACTGAACCAGCACCTTGCACTGCACTGTGCCCCAGACACTTTCCTTTCTCATTTGACAGGGCTCTCACTACATTGCCCAGGCTGGACTCAAACTTTCCACCCTCCTGCCTCAGCCTCCCAGACTGCTGGGATTCCACGTGTGCGCCCCATGCCCACTGAGGCCAGGCAGTTGTACAGAACACGCCAGGCTCACTTCGGAGGCAGGGTGTTGTGGGTTCAGTACCCACAAGAGGAGACAAGGACAACAAGCAAATTTAAAAGCCGTTCTGCAGACGGTGTCGAAGGCTGTGGAGGTGGAGCTGTCCTAACTGTTCTTTATCTGACCGAGGCTGGAGGACAGGCACAGACCTGCCCTAAGTCTGGTTCTCAGGCAGGAGGCTGCTGTGGGGGAGAACACTACCACCTCGGCTTCCGGCCTGTGATGGCGCAGGGCAAGCTCGGTGCCCTGCACCCAGCCGGAGCTGCAGCCCATGGGGCTGCCTCAGGCAGGAGGTCCAGGCCGCGAGGCCCGACAGCCTTACGTTTGCCCTGAGATACCACCATTTTCGTTTGCTGCTTTTTACTGTTTTAGGTCCCTGCTCTTGACGACAGCACTCAGCTGCCTTCTGCAGAGGCTCTGAACTGAGCTCTGACCTGGTCCCCAGGGAGCCCCCGGGAGGTCGCCCGCTTCCTGCCCCACATGCTGTGCCCAGGCTGCTTGGGGAGCAGGTAGACAGATGCTGGCAGAGCTGAGGAAGGACGACTGTTTCCTGGTCAGCAGATGAGAAGGCAACTGGCCAGGTGGCATGGTGCGGCAAGCTGGGCAGGAAGGAAGAGAATCTCTTTGCTCGTGCAAAGAATCAGCAGGTGCAACCAAGCCTGGGCTCCCAAAACTCAGGTGGAGGGAGCAGCCCTCACTGGGGCGGCCTGCCCAGATGGTGGGGTGCAGGAGGCTAGGTCACCCAAGCCCCACTGGGCTCTTTCCCACGGCCACTTCCACTTTGAGAAACTTCACTCAGTACGGAAACCCAAGCAAGGTTTTATTTACAAAGTGAAAAGCAGGCGCCTGCAGTTGCTTCCTAGGAACACCCAGCGGCCGTGTAGCGCGGACCCCCTCGCCCTGCTCTTTTGCCCTGACGTGTTTCCTGGGAGGACAGCGGGCTGGAGACAGCGCGTATGCGTGTGCACAGAGCTTTGTGTTCCCACACGGGATCACCCACCTGGCCCCTTCGGCCTGAGAAGTACAGCAGCTCTCAAAGCCTCCATGAGCCACTCTGTCAGTCAGTGACCCCCACTCACTGAAGTTTAGTTTCCTGACAGACATATTTTTACAGTATTTGCATTGACTGTCTACAGTTGCACTGACTGTCAACTACACGTCGCAGTTAAAAGTGCATGAGCAATAATGTTGACACCGAGCCTGCTAGGATTGCAGGCATGTTCCACCACAACTGGTTTTGGAGGCCAGCATAGTGCGCGCAGGGTTCTGGGGCAGCCACGGCATGTGGCACAGGGATGGAACCCGGGCCCTTGCCCTTGCCAGGCGGATGTTTATACTGCCAAGACATCTTCCAGCCCTCAAAGTTGTATTTTGAAAAAAAAAAATTGAATCAAGGGCCAGGCATGGTGGCACATACCTGTAATCCCAACACTCAGGAGGCTGAGCAGGAGGATCACTGTGAATTTAAGACCACCTTGGCTACATAGTGAGTACAAGGCCAGTCTGGCCTACATAGGGAGGCTGGTCTCAAAAAACAAACAATAAAAGTTCACTTTTGCCAGCTAGTTCTAGGATTGAAAAGGAATGGGACGATAACAGTGAAAAACTGATCCCCGCCCCATGCTCCCAGCAGGGACTTCCAGGGACAGGAAAGGGGTGACTGGTGTGGGGTGTGACCCATTATTGAAATCCAGGTCATTTCCACAAATGCAAGCTGCCGGCTGACAGATGAGTGCGGATGCTGATGACAGCTGTCTCACTGGGGGCGTCGGCCTCAGAGTAAGGCCAGAGACTGGCCCGGCACCATAACACACACACCACTCCCGTTTACATGTAAAGGAAGGCGAGATTTTTCAGGATTTTTGTGAGCAAAAACAACAACAGAACTGACCGTTAAACCTGTCTCATTCTGGCAATATTTAATATTCACTCTTAGGTAAATACACTAATTGAAAACTACAAAGATAATATGTCTGAACCACTGTAACCAAGGGGGTGTAGAACAGTTTCAAGTCACTGGGCTTATTTTAGATTTTTAAATATAGTCTATTGGATATTGATAATAATTGGGTGTTTTTAGAAGGGATAATTTAAAAATAGCACCATCATCTGAATTTATGAATCTAGATGCCAACCTAAAGTGAGTGAGAGATCTGCAACTCACTGAATTTGTTAGTGCATAAAGGACATTTCATGGAGACGCACGGCGTCCGGAAAATCAGCAGCTGCTGAGCTCCTCCCACCTGGCCACTGCTCCTGCACGCATCCTCGGTGCACACATCCTGGATCCTGAGGGTTCTCGTGCCTGGCTGGGGACACCGTGCAGCTCTGCTGGAGTCCGCATGTCACCAGGTGTGCCGGATGCCTCTGAGGCCCCTGGGCTGACAGCCCCCAATGCTTACAACTCTTTCTTTAGAGACGATTCCTGCAGTGTAGTCAACCCAGGGTAGAGTTACAGAAGGCTACAGTCCCTGGAGAGCAATCACAAGCAGATTTCCAGGATACCCTGAGTCTGTCACCCAGCCAGGGGCTGTCGATGCGCTAGAGGGAGCCCTTCACTAGGAGAATGTGGGTGCTGCTGCTTCCATCAGGTCTATGACTGGTTCAGATTCAGGCTTGCTGATGGGTCCATGGGGCTGTTTGATTGACAGCTGTCACATCTCTGGGGAAAATGGTGGGGCTGAAACCTGGGAGTTCTGGGGAAGGCTGGCTGTGTCCATCACAGCTAATGGGCCCAGGAGGCTGGGAATGCCAATGTTAGCCATGTCGGGTGCCCTCCTCCACAGGTGCTAGGGGCAGGGCGCCTCCAATGACAGGCGAGCCATGCCACATGGGAAGTGAGATGCGGTGGTTACTGAGCCACAGGGAGGGCACAAGTGGCCCAGGCATCTCTATCCCTGGGAGGATAGGGCAGGCCGGGACAGGCAAGGAGAGGCCCCAACGGGCTCTAGCCTGACCACAGCCCCAGCCACATGGGGAGACAGGGACACTGGGCTTTTACTGCCTGTGTCCTCACAGGCAGCAAGCCTTCCATGGCTGACAAATGTCTCCAGTGCTGTCTTCTGGACAATGAAATGCACTCAAACACAGCTGAGCGCAAGAGCCGGTCTTTTCATGTCAACATTTCTCCTGTAAGACAAGACTGCAGCCACATGCACCACCGTGTCACCAGCTGCCTCGCCTCTAGTCACTGAGCTCCGCAGATAAGACACCAAGCTCCTTCCCACAGCAGAACGAACTCCTGAGGGCAGAATCACTTCCTGTGCTGAGCATTTCATTGTGCGGGCAAAATAAACTGATTCTAGAGGACAAGGGAGCGGGCCCATTCACATGAAAAGGTTTTACTGTCTTAGAAGTGTTTCTACTGAGTACTGGTTGACTGTATCTTGTATCCAAAGAACCGTAGAACCAATGATGTTTTGGATTTCAGATTTTCCTGGATTTTCTGAACATTTGCACATTTAATACGAGGCCTTGGGGGTAGAAACCATGTCTAAACACGAGGTTTGCCAGGTGTGGTGCTGCATGCCTGTAATCCCAGCATTCAGGAGGCTGAAGCAGGACCACTTCAAGTTCAGGCCAGCCTGGTCTACATAGTAAAGCCCTGTCTCAAAACAGATCAATCAACACCCCACAAGGCTCACGTGTGTTTCACACACACACTTCATACTTATTGCCTGAAAGTAACTTCATTCAGTATTTTTAATGTGCCCACGTTTTGACCGCAACCCCTTGCACAAGTCAGGTATAGCATTTTCCACTTGGGGAAATAATGCTGAATTTTGGAGTGTTTTGGATTTTAGTTCCAATTAGGGATAGTCAACTTACACAAAATGCAGAAAACTTCAAAGAGAAGTGAAGCTGATTTGCATGGTGGTCATATTGGGAAGGACTCCAGGGCTTTCACAGAATGACGCCCCATCCCTTTGTTTCACTTTTGTTTTTGAAACAAGATCTTGCTGAGTCTCTGTAAGTTGGCCAGGCTGCTCTTGAACTTGTTGATCTTCCTGCCTTGGCCTCCCAGAGCGCTGGGTCCATGGGACAGCTCGAGGGCCTGACAGGTGCTACCTCAGGTCTGCTCCCACTCCAAACCCACTGGGGACACCGCTGACCCCGTGCTCTCTTGCAGGACAGACAGGCGCTGGCAACAACTGGGCAAAAGGCCACTACACGGAGGGCGCAGAGCTGGTGGACACAGTGCTGGATGTGGTGCGGCGGGAGTGTGAACGTTGCGACTGCCTGCAGGGCTTCCAGCTGGCGCACTCGCTGGGTGGCGGCACTGGCTCGGGGCTGGGCACACTGCTGCTGGGCAAGATCCGCGAGGAGTTTCCTGACCGCATGGCGCACACCTTCAGTGTCATGCCCTCTCCCAAGGTGTCGGACACCGTGGTGGAGCCCTACAATGCGGCGCTCTCCGTGCACCAACTGGTGGAGCACACAGACCAGACCTACTGCATTGACAATGAGGCCCTATATGACATCTGCTTCCGCACCCTCAAGCTGGCCACGCCCACCTACGGAGACCTCAACCACCTGGTATCAGCTACCATGAGTGGGGTGACCACTTCGCTGCGCTTCCCGGGCCAGCTCAATGCCGACCTGCGCAAGCTGGCCGTGAACATGGTGCCCTTCCCACGCCTGCACTTCTTCATGCCTGGCTTTGCCCCCTTGACTGCACGGGGCGGCCAGCAGTACCGCGCCCTGACCGTGCCTGAGCTTGCCCAGCAGATGTTCGACACCAAGAACATGATGGCTGCCTGTGACCCGCGCCACGGCCGCTTCCTCACTGTGGCTGCTGTCTTCCGTGGCCGTGTGTCCATGCAGGAGGTGGATGAGCAGATGCTGGCCGCCCAGAGCAAGCACAGCAGTCGCTTTGTGGAGTGGATCCCCAACAATGTCAAGGTGGCCGTGTGTGACATCCCCCCACGTGGGCTCACCATGTCTGCCACCTTCATCGGCAACAGCACAGCCATCCAGGAGCTGTTCAAGCGCATTTCGGAGCAGTTTTCAGCCATGCTGCAGCGCAAGGCCTTCCTGCACTGGTTCACAGGCGAGGGCATGGACGAGACGGAGTTCACTGAGGCAGAGAGCAATGTGAACGACCTGGTGTCTGAGTACCAGCAGTATCAGGACGCCACAGTGGATGATGGGGATGAGACCTTTGAGGAGAGCGAGGAGATCCAGGAGTAAAAGCCAAGCTGCACCTGCCACCCTTAGGTTCCTGATGGCCAGGTGGTCACAGCGGGGAAGGCTGACCACAGGACACAGGGCGCTGGCTGGGGCTGGAGGGAGAGCAATGGTCTGCAAGGGCAGGAGGCAGGTGCTCAGCAGCCAAGGCGGGGAGTGGAGGTCTGCCCGTGCTCAGCACTGACTTGCATGAATCTGCCCATGGGCCTTTGCAGCAATCCTTCAATAAAGCACCATGCTGCTCTGTGGCCTCGTGTGTGTGTCTACTTGCATGGCCATGGGTCACTGGCCTCTCCCTGGTTGCAGCCAGCAGGCAGGATGTATCTTAAATCTGGGGCCTTGGGAGCAGCTGCATGTCCCCCGGCTCAGAGCAGAGGGGCACAGATGAAGCCCCCTGCCCTCAGCCTGCTTCTGTGGTGCCTGCTGGGGTGCAGCCCCCAGGTCAGCAGAACCTCTTGCTGCTGGGCTGCATTCTGCTCCCATGTGCCCTACTCGGGACCAGGTGCCTCTTGCCCCAAATTTGCCATCCAGACAGGCAGTACCCAAGTCCACCCCCCCCCCACACCAGGGTCTGCACAACAGGACTGGCCATCACAAGACAGCCCGAGGTTCCCACACAGATCTGGCTAGAGTTGCTGGCCATTTACATGGGTGGGGAGAGTTTGCTCATCCCGCAGGAAGGCTCCAGGCAGCCCAGCCCCTTCTATCCATTGGTGCCCTCGAGACTGTTGCTGCTGGGCAGGGGCACCTGACCAAGCTCTCCCATGCAGCACGGCAGGCCTGGCCAAGACACAGGCTGCCATCCAATACAGCTTGGGCGTCCCTAGCTCAGTGGACTCCAGGATTTAGCACACAGCAGCACCTAACTCTCCTGCACTGCTGCCCCTGCAAGAGTATGGCAGACTATGACTGCTGTGGGGTCGTGCCACCCACGAGCCCAATGCAGGGTGGAGCCGCAACTCCAGGCCCAGCTCCCAGGTGTTACCATGATGGCAGGGCCAGCTGCAGTTCCTGCCTGATCAGTGTCTCATTTGCCACTGGCAGGACCTGGCACACACCAGCACCCCTGCCCACGGCAGGTCTTCTCATGTGGGGAGACACCAAGCCCCCACAGATTTGGCTTAGCTGCCTCACAGGAAACCCCTGCTTTTCTGCAAGGGGCCCTGCTGACAGACCCTGTTCTGTACAGTGTGAGACAGGCTTTGAGGGCTCCACAGGCACCAGGAGGCATCTCTGGACCTCTGGGAAGAGTGGGCACAGGATGGAGCCCATGTGGCCTGGGCCACTTCCTGGCCCATGATGTAAGGTTCTACCACATTCTGTCTTAAATCTGAAGTCATCAAACACACAAGAAAAGTTGAATAACTCTGAGGGAGGGAGCCGACACACATGTAGAAGCAGGACTGTGATGGATGGGCACCTCGAGTCTGAGGGATGGCACCTGACTCGGCCGCCTTTCTGCATTCTGACCCCGAGGGGCCTGCTACCTCCTCTGAAACCCAGGCCATGGCCCCAGCACAGCCCATCAAGTAGCTGTGGCCCAGACAGTGAGGCCCAGGAAGTTGCAGAGCCAGCAGGGCCCTGGTACCTGGCCCCATACTTCACCCAGTCCCCAACGGTACCCAGTCCCGACTGGGCGTGGGACCCCGTCACTGAGATTCTAGAGACGCAGTCTCTTCTGATGCAACATAATGTAAATAGAGACCTTTGTGTGCTCAGGAAAAATACAGTGTTCACATTTATTTCTGATGTAAAGAAGCCATATTTACACAATACATTCACATTTTTAAATATGTTACAGCTCTCTAGAAAACCTTTCACTGAAACAATAAATTGTTCACTTAAATCAATATATTCCATCAGCACTCGAATTGAACTCCACAGCCTGTCTGTAGAGAGAAACTGAAGAGAGCGAGGAATGCAGAGTGGAGGCGCACAGAAGCCTGCTCCTCCACACGCAGTTCCAGGCGGCTGCCCGACCACAGCCGCTGCTCCATGTGGGGTCACCAGGCTCTGCTGGGCCCTGGAAAGGGCCTGTCCCGCCGTGACATCGGAGGCTCAGCAGGCCGGGCTGCCCTCTGGCACACTGAGCTGCAGCAGCGCCCGCAGGCACGGCAGCGGACTACAGCGGCTGCCTCGGACCTGTCTGCATCTGGCCGGCACCCTTCTGGTCCGAGGGCTCCTCCTCCTCCTCCTTCTCCTGCCCTTTGTTCCAGCCCTTCAGGCCCTCCGGCAGGGAGGTGTCCTCATCCAAGCTGCCCGTGCCTTCCACAAACTCTTCATACGTGGACTTCTCTGCAAATGGTCTGGGGCCCAGGAGTGCAACCATGTCGTTCTTATCTAAAACTTCTTTCTCCAGCAACAGAAGCGCAACCTGAAACACAGACCACTTCCATTAAACGCAGGTGATGTAGCAAAGCCTATGCAAAAGCAAAGCCTTCAGAGCTGAGCTCGTTCCTAAGAAGGGGCCAAGATGACTGAAAGGTCGCCGTGGGGAAGACCAAAGACCCTGGAGCAAGCCACACCCAGCACACACAAGCCTGTGCTAGGGACAAGGCCACCGCTCCCGCGCCAGGCAGCATTCAGAGGCGTGGGGAGCTCGCGGCGCAGCAGGCTGCTCTGCTTCCCACGCGGTGATGGCTGCTTCTTCTGTCTGCTTCGCACCTGGGGCCTGACTCAAGCGGGGCGCTGTTGGTGAAGGCCTCAGCTCGCGCCTGGTCCTGTGACCTGGGCCACTCCTGGCTCGGCCCACACCGCCAGCCCCTGCGTGGCAGACTTCACTACATCTCTCAATTTCTGGAGCTCTTCAGGTTTAAGCAATGCTGCACTTGGGAAGTGCTTTTTTGCTCAAATTGTCAAAAGTTTTTGTCTAAAGTTCCCTTAACAGTGCTTCTCTATGCAGAACTGAACTGCTGAAGGCTGTTCCAGAATACAGAGCTTCAGGAAGGGCAGTCGGAGGGAGGTGGGCGGCGAGCACAAGAAGCGAGGAGCAAAGGCATGGACAGAATGCAGGACGGGAGGCGAAGACAGAAATGCAGCCCCAGGGTCTGCGCTTGCACAGGCCACAGGGAGACAGGGACGTGAGGCCCGCAGGCCCTGAAGGACACCGAGAGGGCAGGCTGCATCGAGCTGCCCAGAGCCAGGTGCTGCGTGCCTAGGCCGACTTTCTGCCTACGGCTCCTGAGTCTACAACAAGGCTACATGGTAATTAACTTTCTTCTGTCTTTCCCATGTTAGCTTTTTTAATTGGACATTTCAAGTAGAAATGCACACAACACAGCTGTGGGTAGCTAAGTCATTGCAAACAGACTGCAGCTGGCCCACCGCGCCAACATGTTCCCACTCCGACGAGCGGGACGAAGCCCGCACCCTTTCGCTCTTTCTCCAGTCCCAGGGCCTGCCTGTCAGCCAGCACAGTGCTTGGAGCCACAGCACCAGGGACAGCACACACAGGAAGGGTGGCGCCCGGGTAGGGCCTGGCTCTGCCATGCAGCGCGAGGCTGCCGGCACCCCTGCCACCCCACTCAGCCCACGGCCCAGCTCCGGGCCCACACACAGAAACCAAGGCCAGGATGCAGGCCTGGAGCAGAAAGGCCAGCCCCTCCACGCCTTGGCCTGCTTTCTAGCTGACCTTCCCCCAAGGATGGGACCGGACCCCAACTGTTCCAGCTACTCCCCAGCACACAGCTGTGCACCATGGAACGGGAGTCTCCCCGGCCTGTGAGTCCAGACCCTGCAGGAGCACTGTCCCCAGAGCCCAGCGTAGGAGCTGCACCGGTGGCACCACACGCAGCTTCGCCCTTGTGCCCAGCAAGCAGTCAGACCCACAGCAGTGGGTACACCCTGTGCCCAGACCACACCCTCCACTGGCCACCTCCCGGACCTCTCAGGCCTGGCTGGGCCTGGGCACCATGTCACAGGACGCTCCCAAAGCTACTCCTTGGGCCACCTGCAATCTGCACTGTGGCCTGTGCCCTGCTGCCGCCAGCCTCCCTCCACAGCTGAGGTCACAGACACATGCCCTCTCAGTCACAGCCCCACCCTGGACCTCTGGAGCCACCGAGCAGGACCCACCGACGGCGTGTTGCCGTCTCCGGTCTCTCCAAGGGGCTCTGCCCTGTGTGATTCCTGACAGCACAAGGAGCACATTCAGAGAACAAATACGGCCTAACTCGGGGTGTGCGTCCAAGGGACAGCACAGTTCCTGAGTACAGGAGACCCCCCGAGTGCGGAGGCCATCCCTGTCACAGCGCTGCTTGTTCATCCCTTTGCCACCAGGGCTGCCGTCCAGCCCGTCAGCCCACAGTGGGCCCTGTGCTGGGGCCCTCTGGCTCACTCCTGCCTGCCTGCATTGCTCACTGCCACACGGGGAGACCCTGCAGCCCTTGCAGGTCGTGGGGCTGCTCCCAGTTCACTCAGGGCACAGCACAGAGCCACAGCCGGCAGGGACCCCAGCCTAGCCCCAGACGTGGGGCAGGCTCCCCGATGGGCACCCACCTTCTCCACATCAGCCTTCTTCTCCGTGAGGAGAGCCACAGTTCTCCTGTAGGCCTCGCTGATCAGGAGCCGCATCTCGTCATCGATGAGCCTGGCGGTGGCCTCGCTGTACGGCTTCTCTAGCACCATGTCGCCCTGGCGCGGGAGGTCGAAGGAGATCTGCCCAACCTTCTCATTCATGCCAAACTGCACGATCTGCAGAGAGCGATGGGGTGGGAGGGACGCTTCCTGCCCTGGGACCAAGGGGCCAGGACACCTGGTCCTGCTTTGGATCCTCTCCAGGACCAGAGTCGGGCACTCTCAGTATAGGAGACTGTGAGGGAGGCAGAGGAGCCCAGCGCGATGGGCAGAAGGCTGTGAACCTGGGGAGCCGACACCAGCAGACCTGGGTGTCTGCTCATCCTGTGCACTATGTCCTCACAAAGGGGCCGCAGAACAGCAGGGAGGCCGAGCCACTTGACTCTCTGAGAGCCCATGTGCCAGTGCCACGCAGAAAGCCACGCTGGCTGCAGAACCCAGGCTGACTGGGGAGGAGTGAGTGGGGCAGAAGCCGAGTGGTGCAGCAGGGACACAGTCACCACCTAGAACCACGCGGAGGGACGCTGGTTTGCCTGCCCCACCCCATCCCTGCGCTTCCCACATGTGGCCAGGGCCACAGGCAACAGGCTGAGATCCAGAAGAACAGCTGAGCAACAGGGCAGTGGGCTGCGGGCCACGCCACACCCAGGATGCCACATCGTCCTCACAGATGGTTGAAGAGATGGGAGAGTGACAGAAACCGGCAAAAACTGTGAGGTCCACCCTAGAGAGACTGCAGCACTGCAGTGCAGGGAAGCATTACAGTGGCAGAAAGAGCCTTCCTTTTTCTGATACCCGGAATTGAACTCACAACCTCCTCGCTGCCAGGCAGGCACTGTGCCACTGAGCTAAATCTCTGGCCCAAGAAAGATTATTCTTAAAGCAGGTATTAAACTAAAAAATGAACAAGAGCACATCACCATAGTAACCTGAGAGAAAATGTCAGATTAAAAATGATCAGGGGGCTGGTGAGATGGCTCAGTGGTCTAAAGCACCTACTTGGAACAAGCTTGGCAAAGCACAGGGACCGCGGTTCAATCCCCCAGCACCACATGCCAGCCAGCCCCGCCCCCTGGTGGGCTGAGCTGGTCACACACACACACACACACACATACACACACACAATAAATAAATAATTTAAAAAAAATGATCAGAAAAAACATTTTAAGTTAGATATGCTGGTGTGGGACTGTAATCCCAGCACTCAGGAGGCTGAGACAGGAGGGGCACTGAGAGTTTGAGGCCAGTCTGGGCTGCACAGTGAGTTCAAACCCAGCTTGAACTGCATAGCAAGACCCTGTCTCTAAAAAAAAAAAAGGCCCCACTTAAACCCTTAGAAATACTTAAAAGTGCTGAGCAAAGAAGGTTGCAGCATAAGCTAGTAACAGTTCTCAAAGGAAGTCACGTCCACCGTGTCCAAAGACAGCAAGGCCTACTGCCCAGACACAGATGCCAGGGAAGTTACTGCACATAGGAACAGACCTCACAAGTCAGGAGAGGCTGCTCCACAAGACTGGGAAGGATGGACAGGACGGACAGGAAGGGTCCTGCAGTGTTCAGGGCAGGACCCTCAGGACCGAAACTTTAAATGCTATAGCAAAGTTTCTTTTCAGAAACTCTGGCTGCTCTACCATGAATCTAGGAAATAGCCCCTGCCAAGAAACCCTGAGCTGGGGAATCTGGAGCAGACACGGGTGCGAGCAGAGCCTGGCAAGCTCACCTGGGCATAAGCGCTCTGTGTGACTTTCCGCAGGTCATCCTGGGCGCCAGTGGTGATCCTCCCAAAGAAGAGCTCCTCAGAGACACGGCCACCCAGGGTCATGCACATCCGGTCCAGGAGCTGCTCCTGGGTGTACAGGTACTGCTCCTTGGGCAGGTACTGGGCGTAGCCTAGACCCTTGCCACGGGGGATGATGGACACCTGCGAAGAGAAGATCCACGTGCTACACAGCCTGCTGCAAACAGCCAACAGGGCATGTGTCCAGACAGCTAAGTGTGACAGCAGGGGCCAGCCAGGGACAGTGAGCAGATGGACTTGCAGGTCCCTCAGGCTCTGCCCAGGACTTCTCGTCCTACTCTAAGACTCAAATGAGATCACTTAGTCTCAAAAACTGGTGCCTTGAAGAGGCAAAATTCAACTCTCTGCATCTGCAGCCACTGCCTTGCAGAAGGGACAGGTGACAGCTGCAGCTCTGCAGCCTGCTTTCCTCCTGGCCGTTTTACTGCAAAAAACCATTCAACAAATTCCTTTAACCTACCTTTATTTTTTGGTATTGGGAATCAAACTCAGGACCTAATGCTTGTGAGGCGAGCTCCGTGCCACTGAGCTATATCCTCAACCCTCCTTTTAACCTTTTTTAAAAAATTCATTTATGTATTTGGTGCAGGCTCTCTACGCAGCTCAGACTTGCAGCGATCCTCGTCTCAGCCGCCCCAGCTCTGGGATTACAGGCCTGACCGCCACGCCTGGTTTCTGAGCCAGCACGGTGTGCCTAGGGTTCCAGGGCTGGCACAGTATGTATGCAGTGCCGGGAATCGAACTCAGGTCCATGAGCTTGCCAGGAGGGTGCTTAGACACCTGGTCACCTTTGTGAGAAACCAGAAACTCTTCCCAGAGGCCACACTGTTTACACAAGAGGGCCCAACTATTCCTTATCTTTTCCAATGTCAAGGCTGCGTCCAAAATTCTAACTGCTCCTGTGTGCGTTTCTGGCATTCTGTTATTGAGATTTGGTGTGCAACTCCTGGAACACTTAGCAGTACTATTTTTATGCACTGAATACACACTCATACTTCTGGGAAGTGCATGCTCGTGTCTTTGTGTGTGTGTGTGTTGCTGTTGATGCTGCTGTTTTTAAGATGATCCTGGTGTACAGCTGAGGCTGTTCCTGAACTCTGTAGTCCAGGCTGACCTCAAATTTGCAGCAATCCCCCTGTTTGGCCTCCCAAGTGCTGGGATTATAGGAGTGTAATACCACGCCCAGCTCCTTTTTCATTTTCTTAATAGGATCTTTCAAAGACTTGAAAGGTTTTAATTTTAAGAGATCCAATTTATCAACTTCTGAGAATTTCCCATACTCAAGGCGATGAAGACCTATGTTCTCTTTAGGAATGCTGTGGGGCCAGCTCTTAGAACCTATGGCTAGTTGCTTCTCATGCATGACCTTAAGTGCCGGGTTCACTTTCTTACCCACTGATCATACCATCTCTCCTCGAGTAAGGCTGGCTCCTTGTATGACAACGACATGGCCCGCAGTCCCTCTGTGGACTCTGCATGTCCACTAGCCTCTGGCCAGTCCTCTCACCAGGGCCTCTGCCTACATCTACAGCTGTGCGGTCTCAGAACCGGGATGCCCTTCAGCTTTGTTTTGGATCCTACATGCCCACAAAACTTCAGACTTTGCTTCACAATTTCCACAAAATATTCTGCAGTAATTATGGTCAGAGACTGAGATGAAACTATAGATTTTTTTTTTTTTTTTTTTTTTTAAGGCAAGCTTTCTCTTGCCCAGGATGGCCTCAAATTCATGCTTTTCCTGCCTCAGTCTCCCACGTAGCTGGGCTTACAGATGTGTGCCACTGTACCCTGCCTGGATCTGTAGTTCTGGGGGAAACTTACATAACATTCTGTGAAACTGTATTTTTATTTTTAGGTCTGGTTAACTCAATATGCAGGCCCTGTAAATATTTTAAGTATTCCATATTTCATGCTTTGGGGTGCCCTTAAGCATGGACTTTTTTTCCTAGCAATGAGGATGGAACGCAGGCCCCTAAATTGTATCTTCAGCTTCCTTTGAGACAGGGACTCCATAAGTAGTTAAAGTGCACAGGCTGGGTACAACTTTGTGATCCTCCTGCTGCAGTTTATCAGGTTACTGGGATTATAGGCATACACCACCATGCCAAGCTTGCAACTGAATTTTAAAACTCCATTTTCCAATTGTTCACTGCTGATCTACAGAAACACAGCTGATCTTCATGCTCTGACCTTGACTCTGTAACCTGCTAACTTCAGCACTGGTTCTGGGGTCTGCAGGTTCTGGGAGGCCCTTCTGCAATGTCCTGCTCCCAGAGCCCCTCCACTGACTTCAGGAGTCTTCTCTGCTGCCATCTGCTGGATCAGCTGGGGAGTGCATATCGTTCAGCGTGGGGTGGCTCAGCTAGCTCACAGGAGTCTGCACACATATCTAGGGGTAGGGCAGCTTCTCACAGATCTGAGTACTGGCCTCTTGAGTTCTTCATTCCAGCTTCTTCTAACCCTCTGCCACCTCCAGAGGGCAACATACTCCTGCCTGCTGTGGCAGTGACAGCAAGCACACCCAGTCTCCCAGCACAGCTCTGCTCTGTTCAGGGTACCTTCCACGCCTCAGACAGCTGCCTGCACTCACACACACTGTGCCTCCAGGGCTTCTCTACTCTACCCACCCTATCTGACCTCACCTTCAAGAGAGGGTCTGCATGTTCCAGGTACCAGCCAGCCACCGCGTGCCCTGCTTCATGGTACGCCACCGTCTTCTTCTCCTCAGGCTGCAGGACCTGGGTCTTTTTTTCTAAGCCTAACAGGTAAAAAAAAAAAAAAAAAAAAAAAACACCCACTGTTCCAGGAACATGATGCTGAAAGACAGTTACATGCTACACATTCCCCTTTTAAAATGTCACTGAAAGACTAAGCAGCCTACCACAATTCCAAAATTGCTCCTGGAGATGTTTCCAGTTCCACGGGTAACCCACTACTATTATGGAGTACTGGACTATATTGGATTATTTTGCTGAATCTATGCACCTACTAAATTTGAATGGCAATGGAATACCCGTCTCTAACAAAACTAAACAAACAAGGGGATACAAATGAAGGACCATTTTGTAGTAAAAAAAAATACATATATATCTGTATATACAAAATAGGATAGATATATAGCTACTTTCTCCTAGCTCAATGAGAAGAAAAATTGTACTAATGGTGTTTAGATAAGATACCACGTCTGCATCTTGTACTCTGAATATCTACTATGAAGACAACAATATGAAATGTATTAATTACTGTAATTGTCCTACTAAGCTGTTTTGAAACTGTCTCATTGCTATTTCTTTCTCAATAATGAAAAATAAAAAAAAAAAATTAAAACTTGCTTCTGAAGGTCAGGAAAAAGGGAAGGCCAAGTCTGAGGGTGATCAGACGAGGTCAGGATGCACGATCCCTCCCCTAGGTCCCGCTCCACCCTGCTGCTGCTGCTCTCTACTACGCCACACATCCTGGCTGGGGAGATGAAAAGAAATGCCAAACAGCAAGTTCACGGAGAACAAGATGCACTCAGAGTCATCAAGGCCTGCCAAAGGAGATGCTTGCCCTAGAGGCCACCCACGCTCTGTCCCTGAAGCACAGTGGATAACGAAGTGTCCAGCTGGCTCCGGGTCTGGAAACACCTGAGCAGAGCTGGGTGGGCAGCACTGGGCATCTGCACTACCCAACAGCCTGGGGTCTGTCAGCTGGGGAGCAGACCTGACAAGGATATGAACCCTGTAGGCAGAGTCCAGAGGCGCCATGCTACTGCCCAGGACAAGGAGAGCCGAGGGCTCCAACCTGAGTGGGCCTCTGCTTGCACCTGGTCAGAGTGGCCCTGAAGGCAGGTGGTCCTACTTCAATCAGCACACCGTGACAAAGGCAGTTCTGACATCTAAGATCACCTGAGATTTTTACCCTTGAGATCATACTAAGGACATACTAAGGAGACCAGAAGACTTTAAAAGTCCCCCAAGACAAGGCTCACAGAGCTGCCAGGCAAAGCTTACAAGCACAGGCAGCCAGGCCTCTGGCTCTACAGGGGAGCACCTCTTTCTGCCCTTCTTATGGGCTGGGGATGTGTCATTCAGCAAGCATGCCACCAGTGAGATCAGTACGAGAAAACAAGGCACCCTCTTGCAGTGTACCAAGACTCGCCTCATCTTCTCCGTTTGCTGTCCTACTATAAAATAGTCCTGTCTTTGGTTGGGGAGCAGCACTGTGAACAGATGAGCTCCTGCCCACCTTTGGGGTGCAGGCACACATGCCAGTGCTGGCCAGCCCCACAGGCAAGGAGGTGTTTGGCTAGAGCCCACCTGCCCACCCAGCCCTCCGCTGACGCTCCCTTGTGCCTCACCACCAATCACACGCTCGATGGCTTGCTCGAAGTGCTTTTCGTTTATGGAGTCTGAGAGGTGTCGCGCTGCAATCAAGGCCGCTTCGTTACACAC